CCCCCCCTTCACCTGCCTTGGGAGGAAAAGGTGTCCTCCTGCCCTCGCAGGTGGGGTCTCCTGCAGATCTGTCCTCATTGCCTGCCATCAGGCAGCAGGACCTGTGCCCCCTGAGGGCACCCCTGCACGTTCCTCCTGGCTCCCAGCAAAATCCAGAGCATCTCCTGGGGCTGGTGAGAGCTGCTAGGGAGGTTTTGGGATGGGGACAGGGAGGTGTGAGCCCTGGGACCATGCTTTGCCTCCCCAAAACAGAGGGGGGCTGCCTGTGAGCACCGGGAGTTCATGTGCTTGCTGTGTCTCTATCCCCAGGAGCAATGTGGACAATGTTGTCACAAGGTCCTGCAGCCTGTGGTGATCCACAGCAGTGGAGGAGTTTGGAGGCTGGGAACATGATGCTTACATGGGTCCCAGTCTCGTGTGCAGGGCTTGGATGTGCTGGCCTGAAGCTTGGCTAGGAATAAAGTCCCTCATTTGTTGAACCCCTGCATTTGTACGGCTAAAGCTTGCAGGGAGGGTTTCGAAGCCAAATGATCCTATCTGTCCTCAGTGGATGCTGAAAGAAACCTGTCTGGCCTATTATTTGTTTGCATTTGAATAGGTGCCTGGAAACTGGCTCATGTCACTGGAGCTGTGACAGACCCCACTCCTGCTCTGTGTCCATCCCCACCTGTGAGCCCTGGTGTCTCCGGCTCCTGCAGAGTGCTGGTCCTCCGTGAGCTGGTACCATAATGCAGGTATCGTTATTAACCCAGGAGAGGTGTCGGATCCAGCCTGCCGCAGATGTGATGCCTGGGAGATGGCTGTGGGGTTATGGTCCCCTTCTCTCTTCCTGAGGCAGTTATGTGTGGCCTGGGGAAGCTGTGCCTTGCTGCAGCACTTGGACCCACGGCCAGCACAGGTAACTCAAGAGGAGGTTTCCTGGCTGCTTTAAAGGCACTGTGGGTCTGCTGAGGAAATGGCAGGGGAAAATTGCTCTTACTCCCTTCTCCTTGCTGTTTCCAGGCTGGACTGTGCATCAGGGCATCATTTAAACATGCCCTCTCCCTGCAGCCGGGGACAGCCTGGCCCTGCCATGCCTGCCTGGCGACCAGCGGGGCAGCCTTCTCACTAAGCCATGCAACAGTGCTGCTCGTCCTGCCGCAGCCGATCTGAGCTCAAATTGAGATGTTTAACCCCAGTGCCAGGCTGAAATCCCCACATGGCTGCAGAGACTTCCTGACTGATCCAGCCCAGGCCAAATCCAGCCTGGGATCCAGCTGCGGGGGCTTCCCAGCAGAGGAGAAGCTCCCTGCTTCCGGGGCTTGTAGAAAGCAAGAGTGATTTCTTAATTAAGAACAAAATAGAAGTGAAACTCATTGGCACTTTTGCTATTTGTGAGCCCCCATGTGACTGCCTGGGTAATCTGGTGGCCTGGCACTGAGATGCTTTTACCCAGGTGGTCCCCTTGGGGTGTCTAGCGGTGGCACAGAGGACAAGGGACATCGGCTATTGAGTTGTCCTCACACTTGGGTGGCTCTACTTGGTGATGTCCTTGCTTTTGCTATGCCTTTTCCTACCATTTAGGAGGTGGTGGCAGGTATGGTCTGTCACCTCCATCCTGTCACACCTCCGTGAGTCACTGCAACTTGCTCACTGTCTTCTGGCTCCTGCCCTGCTTTCTGTCACCCCATGTTTTCTCTTAGTGACTTGAGGCTTTGCTTTAGCCTGGCTGTGGGCCGGTTCTCCTCTTGGCCTGCTTTTTATTCCCTGATCTGGGTGTCCTCAGAAGCTGCATGTAGATATATATGGGCGTCTTGATGACCTGTTGACCCAGGTGCCCTCAGCACCTTCTTACAGCCCCTCTTCTGCCCTTCCTGGTGCTTCCATGCCTGATGTCCCCATTCTACCCCAGCCCTGCATTTCTCTGCACTCACAGGCTGGGCACAACAATGCCTCCCTGGCACAGCAGCAGGGATATCTCCCTCCTGGGCAGCACCCACCTGTGAGCCCCTCTCCCATGGCAGGACTGGGAGAGCCATGCACCGTGGCAGCAAGGTTGCAGCTTGGGGTTGGGGTGAGCCAGAGAGCTTGGCTGGTGGTGTTGCAGAAGAAATGGCTCTTGCTATGTCCTGGGGCAGGGGCTCCCTGGGGACAGCAGGCTCGCTTTGGGTGGCTTTTCTTGCTTTAAAACCGTGGGTAGAAGGCAGAGGAGGGATGCAAGTGTGACGCCCAGGATGTGCCCAGCCTGGGGAAACACCAGCAGCTGTAAGTGCAGGAGGAGGTTGGGAGGTGCTGGGGGAGACCTGGCAGCAGCTCCCTGGGAATAGGGCATGTGAGTTTATGGGCATGGCTGGCTCTTGTCAGCCAGCTGTGCACATCTGGCCCATGGGGGGGACACACGACAGCACATCTGGCAGAGCAGCTGTAAGCATCTTCCATAAACCTCTGCGATCTTTACAACCAGCTTGGCAGGGAAGGGTGCAGCCCAGCTCCTGTTGCCCCCAAAACCTCCCAGACCAGAGTGTTTCTGGCCCAAACAAGGGTGAGGAGGGTGACCTGCACCTCTGTGTGAGCAGGCAGCTTTGGTGCTGTGCCCTGGCTGGGCGCAGAGCCCATGGGGCTCTGGGGAAGGCAGAGATGCTGCGCCAGCTCCCAGTGCAGGGAAGCCAAAGTGCCGGGCCAGGAAACCTTTGAGCATGTTCAGGTTGTGGTTTAAGTCTGCTACATGGCCAGGGAGGAGCCCCCGCTGGACCCTCAGCCCTTCCCCAGGTGGGTGGCTGGCAGTGAGCAGCACCAAGGCTCAGCCTGAACCTGCCCCAGCCATCCTGCTGCAAACTCTGAATATCCCAAGTGGAGCCAGCAGCTTTGTTCAGGATTTAAACCCTGCCAGCAGAGCTTGGCCCTGGAGAACTGAGATCTGTGCTGGTGTTTTCCAGGTTACTGCCTGTCCTCCCCTGACCCCAGGAAGTGGATGTTTCCCAGCAGTGGGAATACAACCACAAGCCTTAAAAATAACCTGCTTCGCTTTCAATGCTCCTTACAAAATAGGCCACGTTCCTTCTATTTAATCCCTGGGTGCGAGGCAAAAATCATTCGAAAGGAAAACACGACAGATGCTTCCGAGGGGGGCCCTCAGTGGATGCCACCGGCTTCCCTGCAAACCTCCATCCCTTGCTGGAGTGTATGTACTTAGCAAAGATAATAAATGTGCTCATTTGAATGTGACGGGGAAGGCACAGAGCTGGGGTTAATCTGGAAGAGGGAGGGAAGCAATGGCACTTCTTCTGCTCTTTGGGGAGAGGTTGTCCTGACCTTTTGGGAGTAGCACCGCCCTGGCAAGAGGTGTGGGCAGCCCAGTTGCACTGTCCCCATTTTACAGAGGGGAGAGGACGTGATTTGCCTCTGAGCAGAAGGAAACATCATTTTTTTCCCCCTCCGGATGGGGCAGGAGGAGGGTTTTGGAGGCGGGGAGGTTGCAGCAGGGATGGAGGCAGCAGTACGCAGGCTTGGCACCCATCGGCACAGTCTGCCTTGGGCCAAGAGGGCTCGGAGGGGCCGGGGCTGCCTCTGCTGTGCCCTGTCTCGCCCATGCCGTGGGGCAGGTCGGGGCTGGGGCACACATGGGCGGGGGGGGGACACACATGGCTGCCTGCCTGCACCCTGATGGCTGTGGGTGCCTGGCAGAATGTGCTGGCACCCACCAGCTGGAGCAGGGCAGGTGTGATTTACCGCTTGGCAAATGTTTGGCACCATAAATGCAGCCAGGAAAACTGCTAGCATGGTCCAAGCAAATATCATGGCTCTGCTGGAGCCTTGAAGTGGGACTATCCTGGGGTGCTGGTTTTGGGAGAGATTGTGCACTGACACTGGGGATGGATTTTACCCTGGGTGAGAGGGGTGCAAGTGTGATGCATCTCCTGTGGTCCCTGGAGGCTCAATTCAGCTTCCCATTGGTGTTGTGAGAGTGGGATGTGCCCTGTGATGAGCTTCCCAGCTGTAGCAATGCAGGGTATTATTGTTGGGACCCATCCGGAGCTCAGCGCTCAGTTTTTCCTCTGGTCTTCCTCAGATAATTTCTATTTAAGTTTTTAGACTCCAGGCTGGGGAAAATTTGAGCAAGAGCCCAGAATTTGGTCCATTACCTCCAAATGTCGCTAGGCAGCTCACTGGGCTTAAAACAGGCCTGGCAAGGAGTGGCGACATGAGGGAGATGGCTTACGAAAACTGTGATGCACCTCGGAAAAGGCACTTTATTCTGTTTACTTCTGCTGTACTGGAGTATACAGTGGAAAACCACGCTGGCTCTGGTTTTCCACTTCCTCTCTGGTTTCACACTACCCAGGTGAGCGCCTGCCATCCCTCCCTGCTGAGGGCATCCTACCTGTTGTGCAACCCCCCCGGGGCTCGGTGCAATCTGCTTTATGAAACACACAGCAAGCACGCAGAGAAAGAGTGAGGCGGGTTTTTTCCAAGTGGGTGGGGACTCTTTAAATTCCCCTGGCGTTGGCCACAGAGTTTTTTCCAAGCCTCTGCTCCAGTGTCTCAGCCCGCCTAGCCCTGGGGGATTTGGGCAGCTTCATCCCCAGCCTGACTCAGCCCAAGCCACTCCTCATCCTCCCTCGTGTGCCGAGAGCTGTGGCAAACACTCCTGTGGCAGTTGGTGCTGCCTATAGAGGAGACACCAATGGCTCGGTTGGGACTGGTGCCATCAGTCCCATCCAGCACTGTGGCCACCATTGGGTGGCCCAAATGAGCACCTGAAGTCAGTGATCCCCAGGGATGATCAGGCATTTTGCCTGCCCCCACTTGCCTATGCAGTGCCCCCCTCCCCTGCCCAAAGCCACCTGGAGATTTGGGGCTCCTGGGTGGGCTGGACCAGCAGCCCCCGTATCCCCAGGGTCCTCCTGCATCTGTGGGATGCCAGCTCCCAGGGAGGAGGAGGAGAGCCGGGAGGAGGTGGCCGGTGGTGCTCCGGGAGGGTCTGGACCCCCAGGTGGTCTCGTGCCCCCGTGCCGAGCCCTTCACACCCAATACTGGTTGTTTTTCAAGGGGGGGTTGGAAGTCCGGCAGTACTGGAGGAGCTCGGGGTCTGGTGGTGCCCCAGGACCCATGCCCTGGGGCGGGGGACCTGTGCCCTTGCCCTCCAGGGCATTGACAGTCGTTAGGGGGATGCCTTGGTTGGGGTCCGTCCTTCGGAAGGTCTCCTGGTCTGGCACGGCCCCATTCTTGGCCTTGGAGGAGGCTGTGCCCTGGACGTGGTGCTTCCCCGTCTTGTTGCGCTTGTGCAGGTAGAAGAGCAGGGGTAGGATGAGGGCCAGCAGGAGGAAGATGAGGCAGATGGGGATGATGATGCTGAACATGTTGGCCTCAATGAAGCTGAGGAAGGTGCCCCCCTCCGTGGGACTGGGGCTAGTGGTAGCACTGGGGCCCAGCCAGACAGTGGGGGGCATGCCCAGCTCACTGGCATTGGGGCTGCTCCATGCTGTGCCCTGGGGTGAGGGTGCCAGGGGGGCTGTGAGTAGGGTGACGCTGTAGGCTTTTGAGGCATTGTAGGGCTCAATGCTGTACCCCAGGGATGCCAGTGCTGGTGGCACGCTGTCAGCTGTCAGCTCAAAGATGAAGCTGTCACTCTGCAGGGGCTGGTCACTCTCCCCAGCGTCCAGCACCTCCAGCCCAACCAGCCCTTGCTCCAGCTCGCTCTGGCTAAAGGTCTCGATTGGGGTGGTGGGTTGTCCTGGGTCCCTGGAGACACTCACAAGACGGCTGCCATGGGGCGCCCTGTGGATCTTGAAGACTGGGATGCTCTTTGTGCGGTTGGCCAGCTCACTGGCGTCGAGGATGCTGGTGTCTAGGAGTGCCGTGGTGCCCTTGGGCCACACACTGCCTGGCTGAGCCTTCACCAAGGCGCGGACGGTCACGTTTACCACCCCGGTTCTGTTGGCTGCCCGTGACATGGCAAGGAACTGGAAGTTGTCCTCAGGAGAGGTGAGGCGGGTGAAGGTGAACATCACCTCCCCATGGTCCAGCTGCTTCTGCGAGAAGCCCCGCACCGGCTTTTGGTTGACCTGCACTTGGCCAAACCTTGGGTCCCTGGTGATCCTGTACAGCACATTGCCTGCCCCCAGCTGTGAGGCTCCCAGGAGGTGATGGTGAGACACCAAGGCCCTGTTCAGGTCTTGGGGCACCTCCAGTGGCACCGGGCTGGCAGCAGTGCTCACCGCAGGCAGCACCTCGATCTCCAGTGAGGTCAAGGTGGGCAGGTGGTGGCCATCAGAGAGGCTCAGGGCTAAGGACACTGGGGCATGGCTCCCAGTGGCAACAAACACCACGCGGCCTGTGTTGACATCTGCTTGGGTGAAGCGGTTGATGGGCTCCTGTGGGTTGCGTGCATTGGCCAGGTGGCCAGCAAGAGGTCTCTGGAGGACACTGTACACCACCTCCTCTGGGGACCCCGATGGGTCTGCCACGTCCAGGTACTCCTGGGACAAGGTCACCATGGAGCCTAGTGGGACCCGCAGCACTTCTTGCTGCTTTACCACCTGTGGTGGCTTGCTGCCGCTCCTGGTCACTGTTATATTGAAAGCTTCGGAGATGACCACCCCTTCCTGTGGAGGACGGATGGACTGCTGCACCCGGGGCCGAAGCCAAGCCTTAAATCTGAAATGGTCATCAGAGACACCATCTCCACCATGGGCATATGCCAGGCGCCCTGTGGCCAGGTCTGACTGGAGGAAGAATGGCCGTGACCGCTCCAGGGGCATACCAGCCACAAATAGCTGCCCATGAGCTGGCAGCTCTATCACCAGGAAGACAACATCATGTGCAGCCCTCTCAGGGGCCGGGATTTGGCTTAGGAGGTTGGAAGCATCCAGCACTGAGGTGCCTATCTTGGCCCGTTGAGCCATTGTGAGCTGGAGACCTGGGGGGACAAGGGAAAATGCAAAGGTCTGTCATCCCTAGGAAGAGCCAGGATCTGCTGGAGAGGAGAATGAGATATAGCAGAAAAAGGATTGCAAAGAAGTGGAGAGGGATGAGAATGCAACTGGCACCTATTCATTTGGTAAGAGGATGGAGGAAGGAGTTGCATAGAGAGCCAGCAAAAGGATGGATGCAGTTTTAGATGTTGCTTGACATGATATCAAAGCTTGCGCTTGGGTGGCTGTGGGAAATTGCACGGTGGTGTCTTCAGACAAACAAGCTCTCCCGAAGTTTGTGGGGGGATTGTACAAACTTCAGGAGAGCTTGTTTGTCCCTTGCTTCTCCCTTCCTTCTTTACCTGCATTTCTCCATAGCTGAGTTGAGCGCTGGGGACACCTGGCCTCGAAGGAGATCAGCACAAGGAGGATGAAGGAATCTGAGATGGTCATAGGAGCGACCACGCGGAAGCGGATGGCATCTTGGGTGAGCCAGAAGGGCTTCTCTGGCATCTCATGCTGGTAGAAAATCAACCCACTGTCCACCTAAAGTAAAAAAAACTCATTGAGCACTGCTAAATGGCAAAATAAATACTCAGAGTGGGTGATACCATGTGGGAGATGGGTGCATCTGTCTCATCCCTGGTGTTATGGGCACTGTAGCACTAGGGGGGACCTTGGTGATGCTGTGTTAGAGCCAATGTGTGCACCCTGAGCTCGTCTTGGCTGTAGGAAGGAGCAGCCAAGCCCTAATTAGGTAAGAAATGGGGATCATCACCAGCTATGGCATGGTAGCCACCATCGAGAGCTCATGGCACCTCTCTGCCGGGATGTTTCTGTCCAGCAGTTGGGGAAACTGAGGCTCAGAGGAAGGGCTGAGCTTGCCCAGCATCTTCATGAGTCAGGCCGAGCTGCCTCCGAGGGTGAGCACAGCATGGGGTAGCTTGCAGGGCGGGCAAACCTGTGTGCTTCTGATGGAGGGTTAGAAATAAGCCCTTCACCATGCTCTGCAAAAGCCTGGCTATGTAGGAGAAGCATGATAGCAATAATCTGCTTGGAGCTGGGGTGAAAGCATCATGTTTGGCTCTTGCCTTAGGCAGCAGCCAGGATATCTGGGTCTGCAGCAGGGAGGTAGCCTAAGAAAAGGGGATTACAACTCCCTGAGCCTCCCCCAGCACTAAATCCAAAGCTGGTGGCTGTGGTAAAGCCGGCGCTGGGGCGGCAGCTCTTAATCCCTCTTAGCAGCCACTGGCAGAGCTGGGAAAGTTACTGTGTGGCTGCAGCCTCGCTCTGCCTCCTGCCAGGGCTCAGGTGCCTCTGCCCATGGTGGCAGCAGGGTCGGGCTGGGACCCCTGGGCTGCAGTGGGGAGTGGTGAAGGGCTGTGCCTTGGGATCCTGGGGGAGGCAAAAGCTCACCTGGGCTTGGGTGAAGTTCCTGACTTCCTCCCCCTGGAAGGTGCTCAGCCTGCCCAGGCGTGGGGCTTGCTCGATGCTGTAATACAGAGTGGTGGAGCTGGCAGGGCTGTTGCTCACTGCCTGCAGGTTCTGGCTGGTGATGGGCTGCAGGGCACCTGGAAAACACATCCAGTACGGACTTTAATCCATCGCCTCGCCACCCGCCTGCAGCCTCTGCCACGGGCATCTCTTGGCAGTGCTTGGGCAGGGGGTGGTGGAAGGGTCCAAGGGCCTCGTTTGCCATCAAACTGGGAGGATGGGAAACATGCCTGTACCCACCTGGGCAGACAGTGAGGCTCTGCTTCTTGGCCAGGCTGATGACGGGCTCTCTCTGGGCCCTGATGAGGAAGAAGTGCCCGGGAGATAGGTTCTCGCCATCCCACAGGTCAAAGGCGAAGCCCCCATCCAGGGGCCCTGAGGAAAGCACAGAGCTGGGCATTTATGGGGGGCAAGGGGGCTGCAGCCCCCCATTAACCTGGCACAGTTTGGACCGGGGTGCTGTGTGATGGGGTTAGCACCTGCCTTGGTGGCACAGAGCTCCCCTCTGGTGGTGTCCCCTCCCTCGGGCTGGGGGTGACGCCAGGGGCCCGGGGCACCTCAGCACTGCCCTACCTTGGTGCACGAAGAGGACGAGGCCGTTGTTTATCTGAGCCTGGGTGAACTGCCGGACCTCAGCGCCAGGCGTGGACCTCAGCACAACCTTCCCGTTGGCTGGGGGCTGGATGGAGTAGGTCACCTCCTCCACCGGGGAGTCCTCGTCCTCAGCACTCAGGATGTGGGGGCTGATGGCAGCTGTGGCGCCTTCCCGCAGCTGGGGGATAGGGAGAGACTGTAATCCCCCTGGGATGCCCCCAGCACCTCTGTCCCCTTCCCCAGCCTGCTCCGGACCCCATCCCAGCTCAGACCGCTTCGCTGGGTGCCTGAGCACATCCCAGCCCAACAAGGGTGCTTTGTCTGTGTGCTGGCTGATGCCCTATCATCTGGTCTCTTCCCAGCCCTGCGTCACCCTGCACCGCTGCCGTGTCTGCCGGCACGTGCCGTGCTGCTGGGTCTGTGCATCTGCATGACATATGCAGGACAGAGGTGGGGGCTCACCACTCCACGCCTCAGTTTCCCCAAGTGCTGGAGATGGAAGGCGGCATGGTGCTGGTGCGGCTTGAGGGGCTGGGGTAGAGGCTGTGCCTTTGATGTGTCTCTCCCCATTGCTCTGCAGGAGAAGGGCTTTTTGTTTGGGTCCCTGAGCCCTGAACTCCCTGCACTACTGCTGTGTACGTGATGACTGCAGCCCCATCTCTCCCCAGCTGGGTGTTTCTCCTAGCTTGTGCTCCCAGCAAAGCACCCTTCCCACCGCCCCCTCACAAGGCTGCAGCGAGGCCAAGAGCAGACCCAGAAAACCTTCCAGGAATGACAAGTATGTGGCCAAGCTGAGGGCCACCCTGCAGCTTCTCAGGGCCATTTCCCCCAAACCAACAGTGCCCACCCATCCCCCGGGGACACTGCCACACCAAAGCCCTGGCATCTCCCCTCTCCAGCTGGAAGCAACAATTTTCTCCACTCCTAATCCTGTGCCATATCTCAGTCTCAGCAGACCACGGGGATGAATCCTGCACTGCCAGACAGGTTCTGCCCATGCTTCCCAGAGCTGCCTTTTGCCCTCAGGATGCCCCAAAATCACGGAGCGCATGGACCGAGCCTTCCCACAGCTCGTGCAGGGTGGAGGGGCAGGATGCGCTGCATCCCACAGCATCGCAAGCCTGGCCCGCATCCTGCAAACCCACAAGACAACACCCGGGCGCTGGAGGAGCTGCTCAGCTGGCCGTGTTGGGTTAGATGAGCTCTTTTCTGCTGTTTTCAGCTGGCCTAACCCAGAACATTTCTTGAGTGGGTGTGGGTGCCGACAGTGAAATTAATATCCCTCGGCAGTCCCCGTGGGATGGCGGGAGGCAGGCTCAAAAACACAGCTTTGGAGAGACGGGATGGGGGAAGTGCTGCCAGACACATGGCTGGTGTGAGAGCTGAAGCCCTCACCATGGGAGCTGCTGCTCTGTTGTGCATGCACCGAGGTTTTTGGGCTGCTCCCCGTCCCCAGCATCCACAGCCAGGTCACTTCAGTGCCTGGTGAATTGCAATTACACCTGGGGCTTGGTGCCAAGGAAACCACGGGACCTCTGCGTGGCCAAAGCCCCCAGAGGTGTTTGCAGGCAGGGGGGACTGGCAGCCCCAGAGCATCGCTGCCTGCTGGGGACGGGCACACGTGGTGGCTGGAGCGCCTTTGCTCGCCACCCAGAGCCCCTGCCGCTGGCCTGACCTGCTTCGCCATGCTCCCCATCCTCTCTGAATTATTAAAGCCTTCTGCCTTGTTCCTGCTCTCGCTTACTTGGCTTATTATGTTTGCTCAGCCTCCGTGTCGCCTCTGCTCTCCAGGAGAGCGCACGGGGAGGCAGAGAAATAGCGCCGGGAGCATGGCCGTGTGTTCTAGTGCAGCAGTGGAAGCCTTTCTCTTGATGGCATCCAGCCATCCTTTCTCCTGATGCAACCCAAAAAGCTGCTTGGGGCAAATCTGCCTGGTCCTTTCCAGGGGGCTCCGCTTCAGGGTCTGAACCCTGCCCGTTGTCTCCCCAGCCCTGCGTGGACTCTGCACCCCTGGCGCTGGCAAGCGCAGGCAGCAGACGAAGGCTTTGTGCAATCTCTCTCCTGGACCCCGCCTGACCTTTAAACGCTGAAGTCATCTCTCGCCAGAGCACAAACACAGCAGGGCCGGGCCCCTCCTGAGCCCCGGGCTGCTTTAGCATTGCTCCTGCTCGCAGCAGGGAGCCTCTCCCAGCTCCAGAGCCCCTCCTGCAGGCAGCCGGGCGGCTGCGATTACCCCTCCCAGGGCCTGGGGGGATCCCAATGGAAAGGCGGATGGACTGCTGCCTCAGAGTTTATTTTGGGAGCTTTTTCTTTCTTTTCACCCTTTTTTTAGCATGGTGGCTGGGAGGGAAGGACACGCTTCCCTAAGTGCCTTCCAATCACTGGGCCAGTGGGCTGGCTAAACACAAGGCAGGGAGGGAGCCTCCTCCTCCCCTTGCACAGGGCCGCCTCTGTGCATCTGCCTGCGCCCTGGGCAGGATGCATGGCATGGGGGACACAGCTGCCTGCTCTGTCTGCTTCCCCCGCCTCGGGCCCACCCTGCCAGAGCCCGTGCAGAGCAGCCCTTTAGGGACGTGCTGGTCCTCAGCGAGCGGAGAGGACTTTCTATGCCACTGGAGTGGGCATAGGGGTCTGCCGTGGGCCCAGCAGCCCAGGGTAACCGTTCTTTGTCGGGAGTGCAGGATTTTGGCACAGCTGGGGCAGATTTTGGAGGTACCACTTAATGTGCTATAAGAGGGATTTGCTGGGAGCAGGTTAAGTTTCCTGGGCTGGGGGTGTAACTGAGGGCAGCATGGGCAGGCACAGAGCCAGGGCTGGCTGTAGATGGGGGCACCCCCCAGGCCTTGCTGGCAGCCTTGGCCCCTCTCCCCGCTTCTGGGTGGTGCCTGGCCCTGTGCAGGGCAGCCTGTACCCTTCCCTTTGGGCATCTCCTCCAGAGCCCAGGCTCCCGGACACCTTCCCAAAGCCACTGTGATGATCCTGGTGTGGTGATCCTGATGGAAGGAGCTGCTTTCCCTGCTGCCAGCCTAGGAAATCCCGGGATGGGTGAGGATAGCCTGGGGGGGTTGAGGGGAACGATCCTGCTGGGCTGGCACTCCTATAGGTCTTCTAATAATTTCTCTGCTGCAATTTTGCATTAGTGATCCTGAATGGGGCAGGGAGGTGTCTGAAACAGCAGGTCGGCCTTCCAGCAGCAGGTGAGACCTATCTGCTTCTGACTTACGGGCATTAGCCCATATCAGTAATCTCATGCACTGCATGCTGCTGCAGAGGGGATAGGAAACCTGGGTATAAGGACAGGTGTGAAGGCTGCCTAAATAATTATTTCCAATCTGTGCTGATGAGACTTGGGCAAGCTGTTCTTCGTGCTCCCAAGAATTACTCTGGGACCTGG